CTATGTCCAGTGGAGTAGAGGCCAAGCAGCCTAACTCTGCCATCAGGAAGTGTGTCAGGGTGCAGTTGATCAAGAACGGCAAGAAGGTTACTGCATTCGTACCTCGTGACGGTTGCCTCAACCACATTGAAGAGAACGACGAAGTGTTGGTTGCGGGTTTCGGTCGTAAGGGTCACGCTGTCGGTGACATTCCCGGAGTCAGGTTTAAGGTAAATAAACATGTAACAAAAGTCTTTATTCCATAAAATCTATTATTTTTTGAGAGATATACTTGTAAAATGTGATTTGTATTGATGAAATTGTACTTTGGTAAATTAATCAACATACAAATCTGCTGACAGCCATACTGGCATAGAATCTGTGTAAATTCACAACATAAGCATGTTTCGTAACTTGTTTCAGGTGGTGAAGGTCGCCAACGTCTCCCTCCTCGCCCTGTACAAAGAGAAAAAGGAGAGGCCCAGATCATAGGCTTTACTCCATTGTGATAAGGTATGTATTTTATATACAATATGAAATTTTACTTTTCCATATGTTCACACATAAATTTGAATGGAGTTAAGATTGTTAATTGTTAATAAAAAATATTTACCAAAGACTTTTGTTATCTGCAAAAGTACACAGTTTCTGTAAACATTGTAAATGATGCTAAAAACAATTATTTGCTACTGCTGAATGCCGTGACGTTAAATGTTGACTGACTGTTTACATCATTATTTGACTTTAGTATGCATTGATTGTTTTGTCGAGTTTCCTGATGGAGATATTTTGTTTCAGTGCTGCTGCGAAGTGGTGTTGTTCATAAGAGTCATTAAAAAAATGTAAAATCAAGTACATAATAAACTGTGTACGTCACGACTTTGTTTTATTTTTGGTGTGCCACAACAATACAATGCTCTGATAACCTCCGCTTGTTTACAACACGTGATAAGAACATCGATAAGTCACATAAAAATGCTCAATGAACGAATTTTTGTGCAATGACAGGTCAAATAGATTGCTTATTTTGAAGTAGTGCAAAAATATAAACTGTAACAAAAGTAGTACTGTAGTATGTACAGTTGCATGCAAAATTCATTTACAAACTTTTAGAAACTTCTGTAGGCTTTCTTTTTCAAAAAATATTCATGGTCGCATAAGGACAGACATGCATACATATTGTAGAAACTGAAAACCATAAAAAATTTTGGAACAGTTATGCAGCTAACTACTACGTAATATCGAGTTTTTTTTCACCAGTTCACTATTCGTCTGCACTGAGGGGCTCGAAGCCCAGCCTAAAATATGACTAGGTGCTAGTTTGACTTTACACATATATTGAATTTCTTCGACGATTTGGGCAGGTTGCATCACCGACGCTCTTTTTTTGGTAGTGTTTTAATTTCTTTTAAATTAGGAAAAGTGAAATAAAAGACAAAACTGATTACGATTACACTTTATTGATAAATTGGTATACATTCAATATCGATTACATAGAACTACTACTTGCTGATTAACTGTACATTGAGATAGACGTAGAGCACTACAATAAATATGATTTCTACTACAGATCAATCTATACGTGAAAATTGTCTACGTTACGTATACTCGTTATGCATCGAAAACATTTAATTAAGCCAAATTCGAATGCAATTTTGATAAATTTAATCGGAATAAAAAATATACGAAAACCGGACAACCAGGAGCGGAAACTAACCTGCCTATCGAAATCGGTTAAAAAATAAGATACGGATAAATGGAACGCCTTCATATTTGTGTTTCATGATACTTATAAAAGAAAAACTAATTCTTAAAAATAACTTAGCCTACATAATTGAAAATAGAAGATACATTTGCAACGTATTCCAAAATATAATATCAGTCCTTATGTGCGTAGTTTTCAATTATAAAAGGTTGAGCCACGAAAAATTTGCGATAATTAATAAAAAACATTGGTCCACGTTATTTAAATTACATTTTTTTATAGAAAATCAAACGGAAGAAATGATAGAACTTCCAACTATTAAATTCCAAATAAACAAACGGTAATTGATAGTCCTATTCTTTAAAAAAAATGGTAACTGATGGTTTTATAAAAGTAACTGCTTGATGTGACTCAACCTTGTCGCACGTAACCATCACATTCAAAATTCGAGACAAACCCACCGGAACACAAGTCCCAGATTTCATAATGAATCTTATACAATCAAAATGGCACGCCCTTTTTTGATTTGTAATGCCTCAATACCAGACTAATAAATCGTCGAGTACCAAGTAATTAAATACCTAAACGAATAGTCGAGTGGATTAGTAAATCATTTAGAATAGAGTATTTTAGGTACTAAATTACTCGACTCGACTAAATTACTAGTCTGCGAACTAAGCATAACTTTACACATAACACTAAAACTAGGCCAACATTTGTCATTAGAATAAAATATTTTAAACAAAACGAAGCGGTTTTAAACATTTATTTTTACAATGGTATAAATTAAGCAAATAATTCTAAGCGCCTCATACTTTGTGCTGCAGGTTTGGAAAAAAATACTGTTAGAGACACAAATATTAGCTGATATATTAATTGTACATAACTGTACATATTTAAAATGATTGAATATTTACAAAGTAAAGCTTAATAGTTATTGAAAAATAAAAATCTTTATACTTAAAACAAAGTAAAAATCTTCACAATACAGGTAATGAAATTTTAATAAAATTTCTATAATCTATGCAAATTAAAAACATAAAGGTGGAAATTTACGAATTTGGGAATCATTAAAAAAAATCGAATTTAACATAACATTATTGCAAATCTAGACAAAACATCTAGAAATAACTTTTTTATGTGTCTTAACAAAATTTACCCATTCAGCCGGCTACGAAAACATAGGCAAGATCTAAAGATAATAAATCTACATTGTATAGACTAAAGCCTCTACAAATTGCTCCCAGCATGGGCTTTACGAATTTAATTCAGATAATATTAATTAATTAGTGGCAGTTTGTCTACGAAATCACGTTTCAGGAGAATAATTTCGATATTCGTTTTAATAGCAATATTTAAGAAAGTTTATATTAAGACCGGACATTTTCACCCTTGTGGTTAACTCGTTGCTTTACAAAAGTTCCCACTGAAATGTAAATGGACAGGCTACACTGCGGTAATTAGTGTATTTGGTTTTCACCATTTTCGCCCTGATGGTTGCAGTGAAAAGTTTTAACTGTCAATAATATCAAAAGTACTTTTATTAGAATTTCCAAACAATCGCCTATCCAATTATACAGATCAGTGTACTTATTATACAAAAGTAGAGATTGAAAGGACTTCTTTCAGATGATTTTTTAATTGTTTCATATTTCCGATAGATAGGTTAATATTAAAAAAACTGCTTTATCTTTTCCATTCCCCACTACCTCACTCCTTAATTTACTTTCCCTACGATTCTATGATTTAGTATCACACATTCCGTTTCATCCAAAAATATCCCATCTCCTACCGAGTATTAACCTTTTTCTAAAATCACAGTCATCAAGTGACGAAGGAATAATATTAAATTGCACAGATCACATAAATACGAGTATACATTTATATAAATATAGAATTACCTATTATTATGAAATGTTGGTTTACTCTGTTATGATTAGAAATAATTTTAGGTTAGCAAAAGAATTTTGTTTCCAATTTCAGAACGATTTCCGTTACAGATTATATTATTGGAATTATTAATCTTAACACTACGATACAAGAATAGATTATAAATAACATTTAAAATACATATAATGGTAAGCCGCTACTTTGACATTGAAGTCTATAAACGTTAATTACTAATAACAGCTGCAGTCGTTTGATTTTTCATTTGGCACAATAAACGCATTAACCAATGCAAAAAGAAATTCTAACGAGTTAGTTTTTTTTCAAGTTTTATTTAAGCATTTTCCATCACCGTCAACCTAAATTATTTTCTTTAAATACACATAAGCAAGCATTTTACTGGAATTTGTGAAATATTTCCATGGAAGCTATTGTAGCTAATCACATTATAATTTCCAAGTTTACCGTGTTTATTTATTTAGTGTAAGTTTTTTTGTTGGCTGTATGAATATTCCAACCTTTGCCTATTCTACGATCGTTTAAAAACATATAAGTCACTTTGACATTGACATTTAATACAATTTCAAAACACGACTGCGACTGTTATTTGAGTGATAGAATAAATGTATGAAGTTTGATTATTTTTGTATGATATATTAACAGGTTAGCGATGAAATGTTTCAAACCGTGTGCCGGCGGTCGCGGCGCGCGGACCTGCGCCGGTACGTTTCCAATTTAGCCCTGAGGAGCGCTTCTTTCTGTAATATTACAAAAACACAATAAAAAACCATCTTAGGTCTATGAGCATATAAAAAATAATGAAATAAAAAAGTAGCGGAACAAAGCGACGATATGCTGCTATTTTTTATGCTTAGCTAAAGTTAGGGTAACAAGCTTTGTTTGGTCGTATAATGTATGTGGTGGTTGGTGACAAATAATTAGTCGTATATGTGGTGGTTGGTGACAAATAATTAGTCGTATATGTGGTGGTTGGTGACAAAAAATTAGTCGTATATGTGGTGGTTGGTGACAAATAATTGGTCGTATATGTGGTGGTTGGTGACAAATGATTGGTTGTATATGTGGTGGTTGGTGACAAATAATTGGTCGTATATGTGCTGGTTGGTGACAAATAATTGGTCGTATATGTGGTGGTTGGTGACAAATAATTGGTCGTATATGTGGTGGTTGGTGACAATTAATTGGTCGTATATGTGGTGGTTGGTGACAAATAATTGGTCGTATATGTGGTGGTTGGTGACAAATAATTGGTCGTATATGTGGTGGTTGGTGAGAAATAATTGGTCGTATATGTGGTGGTTGGTGACAAATAATTGGTCGTATATGTGGTGGTTGTTGAATATTTATGTTGTATGTGATGTTATTTATTTTTGAGTGTATATTTGTATAGTGTCGCGGGTGTAAGTACCAAGCGCGCTTGCCGGCGCTAGGAGTCGCCCACGTAGTCCATGGTCTTGATGTAGGCGACGGCTGCGCAGAACTGCGTCCACCAGTACAGGGCTTCGCCCGCCAGCGCCGAGCCGCCCAGCGCGTTCACCAGCTCGATGGTTGATAGCAGCGATGGTGGGTTCACCTGCAAACACCAGAATTAACTATGCCCTACTAACAAGTGGGAAGGAAAGCGGCTACCAGCCTCCCGTCTTTTACAAATAGACTAAAATCCTGGCTTATCTAGAAAGACTATTATAGTGTTGAGGATTGTTTTGGATAAAAGTATTTGCGATCATACTTAATATTGTAAATGCGAAAGTTTAGATGGATGGATGTTTGTTAGATGTTGTAACCTAAACAGCTGAAGGGATTTCGATGAAATTTGGCATAGATGTAGAGGATAGTCTACTCGCTATTGTTTTTTTTAATTCCATGCGGGCGGAGTCGCGGGCGAAAGCTAGTATCTGCATAAACTTAATTTTTTGCTTATATTACTTATATGAATTGTAAGTTGGATGTTATTAAAGTTTGTATTTGTATAGTTTTGTGTTGGTTTCCCGTGTACCTTGAGTATGACGTAGACGAGTACTGGCGTGAGGTCGTCTGCGGAGGGCGCGCTGCCGTCAGTCAGCGCCAGCACCGACATGATGGAGGACACGCATCGCATTATGCAAGATATCTGTTGACAAAAGAACGTTTATATTTACGAGATATTAAGTAGTTTCCGACTATCAAGTTTCGGCGGCAGTTCTGTTATAATTCTAAAGACGATAGTTCAGGTACATTTGGTTTCATAAAAGAGATGAAAGATATGTGAAAAAGTGAATGTTGTGTTTGAACAGTCTATATCAATAGATGGCGCTTTAGGATTAGGCGCACCATTTGTATTATGCGTATAATTAGTATGCACATAATTGTTATTTGTTAACTCTAGCCACCAACAATCCACCAAGACAAGACAAATCCAAAAGAAAGAAAAAGAATCGTATAAGAGGCAAGATGTAATTGAGATAGTTTTGCAGAATATTGTAAATACGAAATTAAGTAAAAAAAAAGTTGTTTTGGTTTATAGAAAAGTTAGTATGTTTGTGTATATCGGTAATGGGTAAGAAGTTAAAGATGGTCCTTGGAGTCGGACGGCGTGGTGCAGTGACCTTGTCGCGCGGCGTACGGTAGACGGGCAGGTGTCGCAGCTGCAGCTGCGCGTGCGGGTAGGGCGCGGCCCACAGGTGGCGCGGCGCCACGCCCGCCCGCAGCGCGCTAGTGCACGCCGCCAGCCGCCGCATGTGCTCGCTCAGCACTCTGCGACACAAATACATACTGTTATAACATCAACAACCATCAAACTGCCAATAGCCTAATGGCACGGACGAGGGTTGGATCATTCCCAACCATCACATCGCTCTGTCCCCACGTGAGAATTAAATGTTTCATCCGTCCCACTTTTCACTCCAAAACCACCAATAAGGTGTAAGATAGAACTGTTCACATAAAATACGTTTTAACCGTCCCCTCGGCGCAATAGGTGGGACGGATGAAAACCTTTATTCTCAGCTGTCCCCACGTAGGGACAGAGCGGGGTGACGGTTGGGAATAATCCGAGGGTTCGAATCGTACCATTCAACTATTGTCGTCCATTTATAAGAATAGCACAAGTCCCAAGCTTAGTTGGAATGGTAAAAGGAAATATTAGCATATTTACAAAAATTTAATATTTTTTATTAAAATTTCTAGTGTTAAGTTGCTATTTTTGATATCCACGGTGTAAATATTGAAGGTTGTAATATCGTGATGTGCACTGACTGGTCTCGCGCGATGTCTCCGTCTCCGTTGGGGAAGAGCACGTGCAGGTAGAGGCGGGCGAAGGCGGCGCGCTCCACCGTCACCTCCAGCGTCTCCATCAACGCGCCTGAAGCACCTGCACAACATACAACCTATCACACGCGATTCCGTCCGCAGACAAACAAAATTCATCTAGTACTTATGGAGACCTAAATTTAATCCCTTTCCAACCCCTCTTCTTAAGAGGTAAGGATGGGAAAGAAAAGCGAATTTGACGGCGGAGGAGACGCATAGGAAGGGGAAATATTCACTTTATATGCATCTCCTCTGTCGACTAAGGGTAGGCAACGCATCTGCAATTCCCGATGTCTATGGGCAGTGGTCGCTTCGCCATTTCGGCGGTTTTAGGTGGCCGCTTGCTCGCTTGCCACTTTATAGTAAAAAAAAAATAGTACCCAGTGTTTCAGCGAAATTATTACTTTCTGGAGATAAATAAAATACAAATATAAATATTTTATTGGTAATAATAATACAGGTCAATCAATCAAAAAAAAAATCAAAAACAAACCTTCCCAGGAGGGATCCGCTTTCACCTCGGCTGTTATCACCCTGATGCTGGCAGTTAGTCTTTTTGCTTTCTCATCCATCAGCTCGCCGCCTTGAATTATTACCAATTACCAAAACTCCACAAAAACAAATAATTTCGCGCAAAGGCATATACAGTAGAACCTCGATAAGTTAAAGTCCAAGGAAAACACAAAACATTTTAAGTTATAGGGGGGTTTCAAGTTATCTAGTCCATGTTGTAGAGGTTTTGGACTCAGATGGGAAGGGAATTATTTTTTGAAGTTAGTTTAGGTTCTACTGTAAATGAATTTGATGTTCATATACTTAATTTAATTACAATTTTATTATTATTATTATACTTTTTTTTGTTATTTCTGATTGTGTTGTAATGTTAAGGATTTTATTTACTTAATTTCTGCGTATAAACAGATACGAAGCAACGTAGGTAACCTATGACGTCATCAGACGATGATTTATATTGTGTTTAGAGCAGTTAACATTAACATAGTCGTATTAGAAGTTTTTATATCTATTTTTCGATCTCTTAGCATCCTATCTCTTGGTGTAGTAACCAGTGTATGTTGAGCTGTGTGCAGTACGTACCGTTGAGTATAGCGTGGTTGTTGTGAGCGTGGTGGTGTCGCGCGAGCCGGCGCAGTGCGTTTCCTCGCTCTAATTGCTCCAGTACGCGCGCCGAGGCGGCTGCGCGTGCGCACGACAAGCACTCCTCCCTCACTAACTTTATCTGACTGAAAGTACATGTTATGTTAGAGAATAGTAAACTTATATTAAATCTCCATTAATATTATAAAGAGATTTTTATCTTTGAATCAACTTAATCCTTAATTCGACAGTATAGTGACGAACAACTAATAAAAAATCTACTGAACTAGTTTAGAGAAATATAATGATCTTTTTTTTACTAAAAAAAAACTCCGTCGAATTAGTTTGAAAAAAAAAAAAAGGATTAAAAAGGTTCTGACAACGAGTTGTATTTGTAAGATGGTATCCCCCATTAGTATTATTATTTTTTGTTTAAACAAGTAACTTAAGCGCCAATAGGCTAATGGTTTGGGGTACGGACGACCGATCTTGCGGTCGAGGTTTCGATTCCCGCCATTCGATTGTCGTGAACCATATCTTAGCACAAGCCTAGAGCTTAATTGGAGTGGTTAAAGGAAATATTAGTAAATTAACAAAAACCTGCTAATATTTAAAAAAAAAACAGCATTCTGAAAAGGTAACTTTACTAATAGGGTTGTCTAACGATTGAGTACAGAATTAGCATGTTAGTACTTACGCTCGCAGGTCATGTTGTGCGTGCGCAAGCGCAGCCCTACAAGAGGCGAGGTATGCTGCGTAGGGTCGCCTTGCCGCCAGGTCCGCCCGCAGCGCCGCCGCTAGACGCGCCGCGCGCGCGCCCGCGCCCCCCGCACCCGCCGCACCCACCGCGCCCCCCGACAGCGCGCGACCCACCGCCGCGCTCTCCGGGCAACCCCCCGCGCGGACAAAGTCCACCAGCGATGTTGCGGCACAGCGCTACCAACATAATAAATACAACTTACTACATCGAAAGATTTATGTAGCTATCCCTTTCTTTCTCCTTAAAAAAGTGAGATAACAAGTTGCGACTCTGTAAAAAGTTATGAAGTCATCTTATTTTGTAATAATCTTTCTTTTTTTCTGTCAATTCTAAAAATACAGTAGAACCTCGATAACATAAAACCTCTATGACTTCAAAAAATAATATGTTACCTTCCTTATCAGAGACGAAAACCTCTACAACATAGACTCTTCATAACTTAAAAGCTGTATAACTTAAAATATTATGTGTTTCCCTTGGACTTGTAACTTATCGATGGTCAACTGTACAGTAATTGTTTGTAGTGTTTTTCTTTGTGTTTTTTTTTTATCTATTACTATCTAGGCACTAAATGTATTGTTTTTCAGTAATAGGGAAGTGATTGACTCCTGCAGCACATGAGAACCAAATTTAATTAATGTGAATAATATTTTTTTTTTTAATTTTAATAAAGGAAGCAGTATTACTTACGTTGGGGATGTATTCAACGCAGTGCATATCAGTGTTGGAGAGCACGGCGCGCAGCCGCCGCTTCATGCTGTTGAACACCTCGTGGTCGTTCAGGTCCACCACGCCCTCGCATCTGTAACACCAAAAAAACATCCTATTGTTATTTTCCTTCTAATAATTCCTGAAATATCATGTACAGTCTCAGAAATCAGCGGTGTTTTATTTTAGAAAAATCCTCTTCCTACAAACAACTAGTTAGATAGCAGTGAGTGCAAACGAATTGCAAATAAGAAGAAACCAGCTGCGTATCACTAAGCAATTTTTCGTACAGACACATTTGTAGGCGTTGTATTGGTTTTTGTTCCGCCTCTCATTTCAAAATGTTCTAACGATTATAGCTTTTAAAGTCGAACATCGCCAGTTTCCCCGATTGTACCTTTATTTTATTGTTATTTAAGATATTGAGTATGGAACTGTACCTATCTAGATCAGGATCAGGTAGATCAGACATGCGTCTAGCAGGCCTTCGCCCGCGGCTGTCGGAGCCCTTGCGTCTGTACTTGGCCAGGATGTCCTCCGAACTGTCCCCACCTGCCTCCAGCTCCGCACGACCATCGTCACTGCGACACTCTTCTTCCGCCAGTTTTATATCTGCGATTACACAAATGATTTTATTAAAACTAGCTTTCATTCGCGACTCGGACCGGGAGGAATACAAAATTACAGACTATGTCCTACATTTGTGGCAAGTTTCATGGAGTTCAGCAGTCTAGATTAGAAACTAACAAACTTCCATTCATCCTACCTTTCGCATTTATAATTTTACTAGCTTTCGCCCGCGACTCCATCCGCGTGGAATTAAAAAAAAAAACAAAAGTAAGTAGCCTATGTGTTCTTCTAGATTATGTTATACATTTTTGCAAAATGTCAATCCATTTAGGCTAGAAATTCTAACAAACATTCATCCATCCATCTAAGCTTTCGCATATATATTAGTACGAAGTGAGAGAGAAAATGTATTAGGTAAATTATAGTCCACAAAAAATTCTCAAACTGACCGTTGCTATGGTGATGATGAGACCGTCCCTTGGGTCGGAAGAACTTAATCTTGTGGAGCAGGTTTCCACCGGAGCGCTTCACATTGTTCTTCAACTCGTCCAAGTTTCCCGCTAAGCCATCCTCGCCACTACCACGACGTCTGTAAAAATATATAGATTAACACCAACGCTTATAAAAAACAACAATAAAAACAATTTAACAGTGGTAGAGCCCGCTTTAACATCTTCGCACTGTAGGGCCGGCTCTATACCACGACCATACAGAAAACAGGCGTGAAGTGGAAGCAATTCCGCGATTCGTCTGATAAGTGTGGTGTCGGAGGCCTAATTTTAGTCCCTTTCCTTTTCCACTCTTTTCTTTAGAGGAAAGGATGGGAAGGAAAAGTGGATTTGACGGTGGAGGAAACACAGAAAGGGGAAATGTCCTCTTTATGTGCGTCTCCTCCACCGTCGTATAAGGGTAGGCAACGCATCTGCAATTGTGGATGTCTATGGGCAGATTCAAATGGCCGCAAGCTCGTTGGCCACTTTATTTTATAAAAAATTCACATACCTCTGCGACTTCTCAGCGGTGGCATCAAAACTGATGCTTTTCGGTATAGCACCAGTGGAGACATTTTTGACGGGCGGTGGGCTGACGCGGCGCTCCGTCACATTGTCAGAATTGACGTCCTGACTCGAACTCCTGTCAGATACTGACGTCTCCGCGCTGTTCACTGACAGCGTGCTCAGCGACATGTTACTTGTATCACGCTTCCTCTCTATACGAGAAGAACTTATATTCACAATACTCGTTCGTATCTCGGATTTGACGATTCTGTTCGTCAAATTGTTGACTAAGTTTGCAGACGTAGAGATGGTCGCGGAACTCATTCGAGTCATCAAATCGGTTATGGTTGATCTCGATTCCGATTCGGGTCGTTCGGTATCGATACCGGAATCGAATCGGCGATCGTATTGAGAAACGGAGAGAGCGTTGAAGGAACTGTCGCTGGAGTTGAGAGATCTGTCCATTAGATCGTTGTCGTCGAAGGGTTTGGAGGTGGAAGGGTGGTCGTAGGGTTTGGAGGTGGAGGGATGGTCGTAGGGCTTGGAGGTGGAGGGGAGGTCATACTTGGCAGGGAATGGTCGCGAGGAGCTCGGCTGAGGGAAGCTATCATCCACCCATTGGCTCGTTGCATCCGATTGGACTGTCGCATCGTCGAGCGTGGACTCGGTTTGTGCGCTGTTTCTGTAAAAAAGTACAGAAAAATTAATACTATATTTTTTTTTACCTAATAATTGTTTATAGCGTTAAATATATTACCCGTTCTGAGGGAAATCAAACACGTCGCTGGGCAGCTGCGCAGGCGCAGAGGTACTGGGGCTCTCGGGGGCAGACGTCGCGTAGCATGTCATCACCTAATTAAAACAAACAATCTTATAAAATCTTTAATACTTGGATAATAAAAAATTACTCGAGTCCTTCTTACTAATATTATAGACGGATGGAAAGAAACAAACATCCATCCGTGTGAGTTTGTAGCCTAAATTACTTAACGGATCTCAATAAAATTTTGCGTAGACGTACGTACTTTTGTTTTTTTTTATTTGCGCTCAGATTCCCGGGCGAAATCTAGTTACAAATTTTACTGCAAATTAATCGGTTTACATACTGGGTATCCATTAACTAGTATGCTCTTCCTGTTCTCAACGAAGGCTGCGTGCGCGTGTGCGGCGTGCGCGAGCGGCGCCAGGTCCAGCTCGCCGCCGCGGGACAGCGCCGCGGTCGCGCTTAGATATCTGAAATCACAATTTATATGTCAAAAAAGATAATTTTAAATTAATTAATTAGAATTCATCTTAAATACCTAGACATAGACCTATAAAGAGATGGATGGATCAAAGGTAACATGATCACAAAACGATGACGGAGATGACGTATGATAAAGTTAGGTGGAGGACAAAAACCTGTTGTGTCACTACAGGAGTAGGATAAGGAGAAAATGATGACATCTCCACTACCTTATCCTCCAGTTGGGCGCATCGAGTTTTCGTCCTCCAAATAACTATCATTTGTCATCTGACATCACTCCCTTTTTGATCATATCACCTTTCACGCAATCCATCTCTTTCTAGGTCTACCTCTACCGGTGTAACAACCTCATAACGTCCTTCTTGTAACATGCGATTCATTCTTTATAACATGCCCATACTACGCCAACCTTTTACTTCTTACCTTCTCTACCACTGGGGCTACTCTCAAACTTCCTCTAATATACTGATTTCGTATCTTATCTATTCGTGTCATTTATCCATCTTAACTATTATTAAATGATATTTGAATTCTTACCTATTATTAGGAAGATATCGAGACGTGTGTCGCGGACTGCCGGTATCCGGTCTTTTGGTGCCGTTCTGTAAATTAGAAAAATTAATACCACTACTAACAAGATAGGAGGTGAAACAACAAGGGGAAGGAGGTGAGGATACCTGTGTCAGGGGCTGCCGCATCACCTCCTCCTGGTGCGAGGGTCTGCGCGGCCACGAGGTATCAGAGCGCGCTGCTACTGACACACAGTCGTCAGTGTCCACCTGTAAGTTATATTTCTACATACCAGAAAATAAAAACCATACAACTTGGGCATTGTAACTTTTTATTATTTAAATTTTAGTGAAAAAGTACAATCAGCTAACTTGTCGGTATTCCACTTTAAAAGCTATAGTCGTTTGTACGTTAAGACGTCGCGAAACAATCATTTTATTTTATTTCTTTAAAGTTTTAAACCACAGAAATTACGAAAGGTATACTAAAACTAAGCATATCAGCTACAAAATTTGGTAACAGCTTCTCGTGTCTGGGGCGACCCAGAAGCTAGACATAAATATTAAGGCCATCAATAGGACGTATCTACGACAGAAGTTCGATCAGTAATTGCTTTTTATTATTATTCAATCATTTGTACAATTCATAACCCTCATTGGTTAAAAAGAATTTGATGAAGGAGTAAGGTATTCTGTAAATGTAACATAGCTAATTTCCCTGATAGTACATAAAATTGTCAGTACCTCAGTATTGCGGTCGCTGTCGGAGGCGAGCACATCCATACTCCAAGCAGACTCGCTGGCAGTCTCGGAGACGTCGGGCGCCGTCGTACTGTTCCCACCGCCACCTGGCGGACAGAGCGACATTATACCACTTGCAATGCCAAGCTAGTTATTTAACTAGCTATATCCCGCGATTTCGTTAGCAGAGAATTAAAATAGCCTATAACATTCCTGGACACATCAGCTACTTTCCTTCAAAGTCATAACAAAATCGGTCCAGCAGTTCCGGAGATGACTTGTAACAAACTCGTAACAATAAAACAGACACACAGAGGTAAAAATTTTAAAATGTGAATTTTGTTATGATAAAATTCGTTCGTATTAGTCTAAGATTTTTGGTCAATAATACAAACAATCTGATTTTACATGTATGGATGAAAATTTACTTGGAATTTATATACCTATATGCAAGGCGACCTCTAATATGAAATATCTATATAAATGAGTTATATCTTACCCTGGTTGGCAGCGACCTGCGTGTGTTCGCAGGAGTCGCCGATAGTCTCGGAGTCCGAGGCCAGCACGTCCGTGCTCCACGTGTCCGACATTATACTGATCGTCTCATCGCCTTCCAGCAACTTCTGTACAAACATACACACTTATTGGAAATATATACACACTAGCTTTCGCCCGCGACTACGTTCGCGTGGTATTAAAAAGAAACAAAAGCGAGTAGCCTATGTGTTCTTCCAGAGTATGCTCTACATCTATGATACATTTCATGGAGATCCGTTCAGCAGTTTGGGATACAAATTCTAACAAACATCCATCCATGCATGTAAACTTGTGCATTTATAATATTTGTGAGATTTATGTCCGGTTTACACTTGGCAGGAGTATATCCAGCAGTGGGCAGATACAGGATAATCATGATGATGATGATGATGATGATACACTTGGTCGGTAGCTTATTAACTGGATTGACAATGAACTGAACACTAGACTGCATATAATTTATGACCGGCTGTCGCAACTGTACTGGCCTAGTGCGAACCGGACATTATGCAATCAGATAGGTTAAGTGGTCATTATGGGAGTGCCTCAGTACAGACAATGAAGCTAATAATGAAAAAACCGGTATGGGTCACATAATTAACAAGAGCGGATATACAACTTTGACTAAACAATCGTACAACTGTGCGATTGTCGATTGTTTCGCAGCCAATTCAACTGTTTAGTTGCACAACTAAAAATCGAGTAGTGTTCGCACTTCCATATAAGGTAATAGGAATGAAAGTTGTGCGATAGTTTAGTCAAAGGTGTGAGTGTGTTTTTGTGGATCTATAGATATTTACCTTGATCTCAAACTTGCAGAACTTATCCTCGATATCGTTGCGTGTCTGCTTGAGAAGCTTGGCCTGGTTGCTGGCCGCTTGAGCACTGACCGGAGCGTTCGCAGATATCCTGTCACCAAATTTGACCTTGAATAGTTATTTTATAACCAACTTCATTAGTTACAAGATTATTATTGTTATTGTTTGTAAAATAAAGTAAACAAAGTCCTTGGATACCCTACTCCAGGGAGATTTACTACGGTAGAAGACCACCCAATAAAAAATTCTATAAAAGTCTAAATTCCGGAACAAATCAGCAATTAACCAGTGGAAGTGTTTATAATCTATTGGTATTTTTAAAAACGCGTACTTAGGAATAATCACAAAAATGCAAAAATAAATGGATTTTCGTTACAAGTACTACCAATAAGAAATATGGTTATTTTTAATATAAAATAAAGACAATCCAGTTTCACATTAAGAAAATAAGAATATTAAGAATAAATATATTTATTACTATCTTTCGCCCGCGACTCTGTCTGCGTGGAATTAAAAAGAGAAAAGCGAGCGTGTTCTTCCAGACTATCCTCTACATCTATACCAAATTTCATCGAAATCCGTTCAGCCATTTAGACTACAAACTCTAACAAACATCCATCTATCTAAACTGTCATATTATTATTTGTATTTTATGTACAAGTATATTTATTGCATATTCATGTTGCAATGTGTATTTTTGTGAGGAAACCTGCACATATCGGTAAAGAAATTCTAAGATATGTGTGAAGTCAACCCTCAGTGAGTCAGAGTGTTTGACTATGGCCTTGTCACCACTTATTAGGGTAGGCTCCGAGCCTCTCGGTGGGGACATGTAGCTGGGGAAATGTTTATTATTAGTTAAAAGGCTTTATTATTAGTTTTCTGACCGTCTGGGGGGCGCGTCCCCCGCGGCGTCGCCATCAGTGACCTGCGAGGAGGGCGTCTCACGGCCGGATATATTAGGACTGCCGCGCCCGCTCACGTTCGCTGACACCTAAACACAAGTTAATATTATTTCAAACAAAAAAATCAATTAATGTATTGAATCTTTTCACTATATTACGGCCGAATATTGAAACGAAATTCAAACACTTCGTTTCTTAAACGCCACATATAATTATGGATTTCTATTTTAAACGTGTCATCATTTAAGACGCTGTCATATATTGCTTGCTTGCGACTTCGTTGCGTGAAATTAAAAAAATAATTCAAAATATAGCTTATGTTACTCAGTGTTAGTGTAAGTTTTAAATGGTAAAAGAATTTTTGACATCGATTAGTAGTTTTTGACTTATTTCAATAAATACAAAAATACAAATCTTTCTTCTTTATCATATTACTAGCTGTTGCTCGCGACGTAGTCTTTTTAAAATTAAAAAAAATTAAAAAAATAGCCTATGTTACTCACAGAAAAAATTTCTAACTAACGGTGAAAAAGTTTATAAACGAGACCAGCAGTTTTTATGTTATTTCAATAAATACAAATCTTTATTTTTTTCTAATATAAGTAAAGATTTCGTTTCAGTATTCGGCCCTAACACAAATTAAAGATATAATAAACAATATAGTATTAAAAATATTTATATTACCATATCCGAGAGGTTGTCATTCTGGTCTTCAGTTTCTAACTCTAAGCTGGATGTGACGCTGTGGTTGGAGGCAGCCTCCGACACCGCCTCCAAGTTATCAGACGTGTTGCCCAGAGACACCTCATCGTGTGACACTGAGAACCTAATAATAACGATATATAACAATTATTACAACAGAAAAAATACAAATATTTATTTTCCGAAAGTACCTTATTTTAACAAAAGAAATATCGAAGAATTAGCTGTCAACATTCCGTTCAATTGCAAATGTCAAAATTCTAATGCTCAAACAACAAAGGCTTTTGCTATGCCGTTCAATTACTATGGCCATCTTGCTTTTTTGCTGCTATTGGCATGTCCCTTTCCCGCATAACGGTTTTTTCATATTTATTTACCCCCTAAGTTTAATAGTGTGAAAAAAGTGTGTCTTCACTTACTTTTTATCAAAAATGAATTATTCAAAAATATGCTGTGATTGCTAACATCCTACATAGCAAAGAAGTGTGTATTTACGCTTTATATTAGTACAGAGATTAAAAAAAACGACTACTTTCTGATCAGCCAAGTTAAGTATAATGTATCCAACAGTACAAATAGACACGTACGTTGTTGTACATTATGATACGTACCTGGTACGTTTCTGTACGGGCGTCTGTCCGGGCGCGACGAGGGCGGAGGCGCCGTCCTCCTCGCCCGCCTCCGACCCCACGTAGTAGCACTCCAGCACTTTAGACTCCGGCATCATGCCTACAATGTACAATAAATCGACATTACTATTAAAGCTGCAAATCTTGATAAATAAAAATTCAAACTAAAAATGTTTTTCAGTTCGATTTTAAAGGATAATAGTCTGCTTGGAAATTGATTTATAATATGTACATTAGTCGTTGAAAAGGATGAGAGAAATAAATATAATTTATAAACCATAATATGAACTATATTAATGCATCAACCTCTCTCTCTCTCTCTCTCTATCTACCTACATAAAGCACGCAACAAAAATCTATAGATATCTTTTGTCCATACGTTTTATAAATCGATTTTCTCTAAATTATATTGTTAAAATCACAAAAGAGTGACATACCAACATAATCACTCTCCTCAGTGTTGGCGAGCTTGATGACTAGCACTTCCGGCACCTCCAGGTCTTCCCTATCACCATTCAGAGCCTTGTCTTCCAGCGACGAGCTGGAGCTGGCGCTGCGCGGCAGCCGCGGCTTCGACACCTTCGCCAGGATACCTCGCTTGCTGCTGTGACCGTTCTCTGATACAGTGTCCTTTGGCTCTGATGATCTATGGATAATCATACTAATATAAATACGAAAGTTTAGATGGATGGATGTTAAAGTTTGATATACGGCTGGACGGATATCGATAAAATTTGGCATTGGCATAGATGTAGAGGATAGTTATGAAGAACACATAGGTTACTTACTTTTGTTTCTTTTTTTAGAAAAAACGAGTAATAGTAAGTAGCCAAATTTCATAGAAATTCGTTTAAGCGTTACCTTCTAACATCCATCCATACATCTACACTTGCCATTAGAGAAATAGTAAGGTTGATATATAAAAATGAATACTGAAATCACGTAATGAAAATACGAGTCATTGTTGATGGTCCTTCGAGCCGGATGCACTATTGAAGAGTCATTCAATAGTGAATATATAATGACTCTGATTTTCATTTCATGATTTCAGTATTACGTTATTCGTTATTTTAGTACACTATTCAATAGTGAATCCTGCTCAAAGGACCATTAATTCACAAATTAAATATATATTACTGCGTGTATATCTAACATTGAGGATACTGACTTGCAGGCGAGCAGTGCTTGCAGGTCGGGCACCTTGCGCAGCAGGTCGTGCAGGCGGGCGCGGTAGTTGGGCTCCACCGTCTGCACGAGCGCCGCCAGCCGCGCCGCGCCCTCCGCGCCCTCGCTCTCGCTGCCCTCGCTACTGTTACAATTAACCTGGCTTTACACTGACCAAAGATATTGTCATCTCTTTCACTCATTGGAAGAAATAGATTTTTTTTTATATACAATTACAGATATCGACATAGAGTCCATCCCCGGGGATTCTAAATATTTAGTCGTTCTGGAGACATAATAAAAATATATATCTATAAATTTGGCATTTATAACATTAAAAGTTTACGAAATCTTATATATAAATATGTACCTAAATCCAGCGGCCTCTGCAACCTGTCCCGAGCTATTGGACTCTTCAGATGTAATGCTCGGAGTGTTATTATTCAACTTGGATGAGATTCGTTTAAGATATGTTATCTGTAAGAATAAATATAACTTGAATATAACAACTTTAAGATTCAAGTTGTAACACAAAAACCATCACCTTTATGATTCAAATTGTTACACAAAAAACCATCACCTTTATCATTCAAATTGTTACTCAAAAACCATCACCTTTATGATTCAAATTGTTACACAAAAAACCATCACCTTTATGATTCAAATTGTTACACAAAAACCCATCACCTTTATCATTCAAATTGTTACTCAAAAACCATCACCTTTATGATTCAAATTGTTACTCAAAAACCATCACCTTTATGATTCAAATTGTTACTCAAAAACCATCACCTTTATCATTCAAATTGTTACTTAAAAATCATCACCTTTATGATTCAAATTGTTACACAAAAAATCGTCACCTTTATGATTCAAATTGTTACTCAAAAACCATCACCTTTATGATTCAAACTGTTACTCAATAACCATCACCTTTATGATTCAAATTGTTACTCAATAACCATCACCTTTATGATTCAAATTGTTACTGACCAGTAAATGCGCATCATGTGGTGTGAAGAGCGCTATAGTGGTCCTTGGCGGTACATCCGTACGTAACGCGTCCGCCTGCGCGTGCGCGGGCGCGGGCGCACACGACTCCGACATCACACTCTCTATTAGCGAGGAAACGCAGCTGCGATCGAACTTTGTATACAAATCACGGACTTTTGGATCCACCTGTATATGAAAAATTGATTTTATATTATCGTTTAAAGTCATATCTTCCCACTATTAGGCTCGGAGTCTACTCTAAGTTAGGGTGACTAGGCTTTAAACAACGCTGGCCTACTATGAGTCGACTTCAAATATGACCTTGAATTTCTTTGTAGATATGTGCAGGTGTCATCACGATTTTTCTTTTTCAAAATGTAATATAAATAATAAGATATAGTTAAAAATAACAATACAAGTTTCACAATTAAAGACTTGAAAAAAATTATATAACTTATATATCGAAAGAAAACAATACATATTTTTTAACATTTAAATACAAACAAAATAGGTTCACTTTATCAAAATAATGAAGGTTATGAGAAAATAAAATTAATTTCTTAGAGTAACATCAATTCTCACCTCCTGGTAACAGTTAAGGCAGAGCACTTGCAGGATCTGTGCGACTTGCATCAGGTTGAAGCGTGCCACATAGGAGACGGGCACATCCACCACACCATGTGCCTCTGGGCTCACCACTGCCGGGCAGATCAGCTGGCTCAGCACCAGATCGGTACAGATAGCATGTATCTCGCGTTCACTTGTCCTGCAGAAAGCAACATATCACAATAGAAATAGAAATAATTTTATTGAAAAACAAGAGATTAACAATTACAATAATAGTTATTAACTACAAGATAATTATAATTTGTGGTTAATATACGTTTAATCTGGTGATGCCTACACTAGGCAATGCCTGTATCGTGGGCACCGAAAACAGCAGGAAAAATCATTTCTTACATTAATTATTAAAAACCTACGCTTGCGGCGTTTCGGTATTATTTATGAACTAGCTTTCGCCCGCGACGCCGTCCGCGTGGGATTACAAAAAACAAATGCAAGTAACCTATGTGTTCTTCCAGACTATCCTCTACATCTATGCATAATTTTATTGAAATCCGTTCAGCCGTTTAGGCTACAAACTCTAACAAACATCCATCCATCCATCCATCTAAACTTTCGCATTTATAATATTAGTAAGAAGTAAGATTATATATTGCTCCAATATAAATTAAATAAAAAAAGAATAAATAATATAAAAAAAGAAGAAACTATTGAAAAAGAAGAATTTATTCGCCATGTGCTGCGGTGTACACTGAAACGCCGGTTTTCAATGAACACTAAAATAGAACACCAAGTTATACAGAAGAGAAAAAAACAAGTACTTATATTACACTTTGTCACAATTATTAATGAATATGTATTTATTGCTACAAAAATAGAAATTACATAAACAGACATTCTAAAGAAAACATATAAGCGTGGCAAAAGGTAGCCAGATCCTGCATGCGAGACCACTTGTTTTTTTGGCATCTTATAACATAAAAAAATCCCCCATTACGTTTCTTCCCACTACTCCTAAGTCTTTACCTAGAATGTTGCTTCAATAGGTGTACAATCTGCTGCACAATCCAGGCAATAGCTGCGGGGAAGTTGGGCCAATGCTCCTTTAGGGAGGTGATGAACTTGCTGGTCAGGTTGTACAGCGATTGGACTGTCCACTTGCGGTATCTGGCCACCTTCGCTGAATACTCAGTGCTGTTCACCTGACCGAACTTCTTGAGACGATCTGATGCTGAGAATCTATGTTTTAAAAGAATAATTGACAAAATTTACGAATGCATCCATTTTTAGAATATTCAAGGGCCTGTCGCACCAAATTGTAAACTGCCTGATAACAATTCAACATGTTAAATATGTGATGGAAATATTGGATTTTGAACCACTATCAGCTTGTGGTGGGACAGGCCCTTAATTTACAAACAGAAATATTTCAAACTAATGCTGAAGTACTAAGTCATAAATTTTTTATTTAAATCAAGAAATCTTGTAGTTTACATCAGTTGCAAATAGAAATTATTGACGCAGTATGGTAGTGTACCTCTCCATGGCCTTGTCAGGGTCTATATCGAGGAAGAACTCGTCCTCGTGCAGCACCGCCATGACGGGCGCGTGCAGCGCAGCGGCGAGGAAGCGGCGCGCCGGCGCGTGCCCGTCGCGGAACGTCGAGCACACCGACGCCAGCGCGCACTTGCTCGTGCGAAACAACCTTACAAACACAAACATACATACAATATCTGACATTTATTATCTTCTAGCTTTCGTCCGCGACTCCGTCGAAATTAAAGACAAACGCTTGTAGCCTATATATTCATCCTATATTCTATATTTATTCCAAATGTAATTGAGAATAACCCGTTTAGGCTACAAACTCTAACAAACATCCATCCATCTATCCAAACTTTTGCATTTATAATATTACTAGCTTTCGCCCGCGACTCCGTCCGCATGGAATTAAAAAAACAAAAGATAGAATCCCATGTGTTCTTCCAGACTATCCTCTACATCTATGCCCAATTTCATTGACACAAAACTAAAACAAACATCCACTCATCGGAAGGTACTCATTTTCCGCAATGAAAATGTTTGATAGTTTCTATGGATTATTCAGCAATGTGAAACTGTTATTGTATTGTAGACTAAAGCTGTAATATTTTTTATCTAATTTTTGTTTGTCACCCAAAACAGTAAACATAACCGTTTCTATAAACATGGAATTACTTTCACTTAGTGAAACCAATACACAATTTATTTTATTATTTTTTTTGCATTTTTATTCAACAATATCTTTTAAAAATCGAAATACAAAATTCGTAATGACGTCATTAATATACTTCCTGCTGACATTGAGTCAAGCTTGCGTATGTACCGCCGCATCCTGTATGTAGGGAACAATTGATTGCGTCGTTATATTAGGATGTGAACAGACAACTTAATATCACTTACATTAATACATTTTAAGAGAAGTTATTGTGTATGTGCTTATCTTCCCAAACCCAGGAAATGCGTAAAGTAATTCACATTTTAGATTATTCATTTGTAATATAATATCCCTAATATTATAAATGCGAAAGTTTAGTAAGTGGATGGATGGATGGATAGACATAGACTACTCATTTTTTTTAAATACGTCGCGGGCAAAAGCTTGTTTACTAATAATGTCGTATTAAACATTAACAATAGACATACTTTAAAATTCACACTGAAATAAGCATCTATCAGAAGGTGTAAATAGCAAAAATAATGGCTTACAACAGTTTAGATAGGAGCCATTGATTTATTGATGCTTTTGAACTTATAAATACATTTAACGGAAACAAGGATTATGTATGGAGGCCGACCTATGTTTTTCACATTGTAAATTATATAATCTTAGTAATGAGATCTTTAGGTCAATGACTGTTATAAATACAATACATAACATTTTAATAAAATAAACAAATATATTCTTCCATATAAAAGTGGCCAGCGCTAATCTTAAAAAAAAATCCAAAATATGGTTAAGTATGCTATGAAGTGATATTTACTTGCTTATTCAAAATAAAATATAATAAAATTCATATCCGTTTCTCACTGATAATATAGCTTTTTAAAGGTGAAAGAATTTTTGTAGTATAGAAGTGTGTAGTAGTTTTTGAGTTATTTCAATATATACAAAAATATTTATATTATTTTATATTATTAGCATAGATTAAAAATATCAACAATTTTGAGAGCCATAAATCATGTAAAAAGTCTTTATTATAAAATACCTACTTTCTTGGATCACTTGAAGTTGCCATTTGATGTTTGATCAAGGAGCGTATGACAGCTAACAAGCGCGTTCTGTCTGGAGTTGAGCGGCAGCTGCCATAAAGGCCTGCTATAAGGAATGACGGCAGAGACTGCGGCATATGATCCTCTCCGAGCATCAAGCTCAATGCAACAAGATGGGGGGTGTCTCGAAGCCATCCTAGAAGCTCACCCAATGCAGTTGCTTCCTGCAATAAATTTAAATCTAAGTAATTTAATATAGATCAATGGTTGATTTTATAAGCTACTAATGCACTAACATCTAATCTATTGAAATTAAGTAACCTTTTAAAATACGCACCCATTATTACCTTAGGGAATAATAAAAATATGTAAATTGTAAAAACTTAATTTTTAAACATTTATGTAAAAAGTACAATCTTGAGTTATCTATTGTTCGACAAGTGTAAAAATGAAACACTATATTTTTGTAGTAATATGAATAATTAGACAAAGTGGGTGGATTTTAATAAGCCACAATAATCAGTGATAAAAAAATCAGTTAGAACAATTACTACCACAAGTAGAATTGCCAATCTGACAAACTATTTTTGCAAATCATCCCCTAGTGCATTATTGAGCTCGTTCATTTCCAAATAAAATTACTTACCTTATATCTCAAGACCTTGTAAGCATCTATAAAAACTGTGCTCTCAAGTAAGCTTGCTCTCTGACAGGCTGCTATGGATTCAGCCTCACATCGAGATGAAATAAGGTTTGTTAAGTTCTGTCGTTGCATAGAACATATCCATGCAGCCTGCAGCAGTTCCTGCACAGTTTTCTCCACTTCCTCATTGAGATTTTGAAGCAGCTGTCGCTCTGAATTAATGAAAATTTTCTCCCGACGTAGCTGGTTCGCTAACTCCGCAATGTTCATACAGCCCTCCGATGTTGGCTGCATCATTCTTGCAATTAATCACATACACTTATAAACGAAACATTTTCTTTTTACTAAATAAATAAAAATAATCACGTCATTTCACAGAGTCCTTTTAGATTTCACTTGATTTTAAAAGTCAACAAAGGACAACAAAAACATTTGGAACATACGACACATTAATATTCCATCGATATTTTTTTTGCAGTAAGACATCGGGGTGTTTAAATAATTTTTGTACACTTATTATCAAATAGCAAAAAGATGCAAATCGTTCGCAAAACGAGACGAAATCGACATAAGAATTAATGATTTGATGAATGAAAAGTCATTCCGTTCAGAAATACAATTCGTTCATTTCGTAGTAAAATATTGTACAACCTGAACTAAATCCCGATAAATACCAATACCAAATCGATACCAAAATTACACAAACAATTTATCATATTGACCACTTAATGTTTAACGTACAAAATCTTATGACTTTTACCACTCTTATTTTAATTAACCGTTTGGCAAGAGAGGCAACCATTCCCTTAAATTGTTCATATTTCTAATAAACCTTACAACAATTTCAGGACTAGCTCTGCCCACCTTAAGTTTAATAGTCAATTTAATGAATCCGCGTGCGTGATCAATGTTCATTTATAAGGTATAATCCACGATCGTAGGCTTCATATGCTTATTTTAACAATTATTATGGAGTCTGAGAGGCGGAGAGAGAGGACTACGCCTTTCCATCATCTTCCTCCTTATCCTACTACCGTAGGGTTGGCTCGGCAGGTTTTTGTCCTCCACATAACTTTATTATACGTCATCTTGGTCATCAATCCCTTTTCGATCATGACACCTTTCACGCAATTCATCCATCTCTTTCTCATAACTCATAATCTACCACTGGGGCTACTCTTAAACTTCTCTAATATACTCATTACGTATCTTATTCATTCGTGTTACCCCACACATCCATCTTAACATTCGTATTTATGCCACATGTAGTTTCCTTTCATCCGTTTCTTTTACTGTCCAACATTCAAATCCATACATCATGACAGATCTTACGACAGCTTTGTAAATTTTCCCTTTTACTTTAAGCGGAATTTGTGAGTCGCATATTACACCTGTGATATCTCGCCATTTCATACATCCCTCTGTTAATCTATTTGTTACGTCACGGTCAATATCGCCGTCGTTTTGGATTAATGAGCTGAGGTACCGGAAGTCGGAGCAAACTGGAAGATGAGCAGCATCCAAGGCAATCGGGGTGAAACTGTATAAGCCCCCAAAGTCGCCGAATAACTGCTCTGTTTTCGCTCTGCTTATCTTCAGTCCAGCTGTCTCCAGCTTATACTGACATCTCTCCACTCTACTCTGGAACTCTCCAAAGTTAACGCGTCGATAAGGACACAACAGATAAGGACTTTAAGCCGATCCCTGGTGCAGGCCCACAGCTACACTGAACTTGTCGGTTATGCCGGCTTCGAACCTGACGTGAGTATTCGCTGTTTCATACATAGGCCTAGCCTTTTATTTTGCTAAAATCTTATGCATTGCAATTGAAGGCTCATTTGACCCTTAGTGAAAAGGGGGAAATATTTTCAACAATCATTTTTCACTACAACTGCTTCATTTAATTTGTAATTTAAAGAAAAAAAGTAATGCCATAGACAATTTTTTATTTCCAAACTGTTTTTTGAGGTCATGTAGACTTAGCCTAACAGTTGTAAAGAATGAAAGAACGAATGAAGAATTACATAAATAAAGATTAAAAATGAACGGATCGTGTTTTACTTACAAAGTGAGTGATGGTTAGAATTAGAAGAAGGAAATCTTTGGACTGCTCACTCCAAGTCTTTTATTAATTTTCGTGTAAATATTATAATAGATGTTTAGATTTAAGTACTTAAATGTGATACGTGAACAATTTTATTCGTTACAATGTCCAATAGTTCAATTGACGAGAAATTGAAAGGTTTGCAAGAACGATTTCAAAATGAAATGCGTACGCGGGGAGATGGTGGTTTACAGAACCAAGGTGGTCTCGGAACACCTAAGTCTGGAGGCCGGAAGTTTAGACCCCGTAAGTCCATTCGTTACGATATACCTTTTTAATTACATAGCATTAGTTTTTCATTAGAGAATGATATTCTCTTGACATCTGTTTTGTGCCATAACATTATGTTCGAATTCATAAATTACATGTCTTAAAGTAATAATTTTGATATAATTTGGCCAAACATCTCGACAAATAATACGTAAGATTTGCTGTATTATAGAAAGGTCATAATGTTTTATGTAAGTATTAAAGCATATGCTTAAAAATTGAGGTTGATATATGTCAATATTAGTGGGGAATTTTTAGACAATCTTGTTTGATATTCACACAAATGGTTTTTCAAACAGGGAGGACTAACAATGTAAATAGGTTATTTGCATAACTTGGCATTGAAGACACTGTGGGTGGTGTGCACCCAGCAAGCATACAGTTTTAACTATATGTGCATATTTATTGTGTCAACAGACACCATTGTTTTGAAAGGAATAATATTATCTATGGGTTTTGGCAAAACATGCTGTACTGCTGAATTTAATTAAATACATTTCCTATATCTAAAGTAAATAAAACCTGTGAGGGCTGAAACTAGTTTCTTGTGTCTTTCTTATATTTTTACACTAACTGTTACTTGTGACTTCACTCCTGTTAATTAGAATAAAATATAGCAATTGTTCCTTGAAAATGTAGCTTTTTAATGGTGATTTTTTTCATTTTATATCAGTATAGGTTTTGGGGCAATTAAAACTTTTTAAATGATAATTGTGATGTACCTGCCTATATTTCTGATATTTGTGTTTAATTCTTTGTAATTATTGACTACATATAGCAAGATAAAGCATGTATTTATATCAATATTAAACATACAAGAATAACACCTTAGGTAGTATGGTTATCAAATAGGGTAGTACTATACCAATGATACATATTAAAAAAAAAGGATAAATGTATATAATATTTATGCAAAGTGTAAACATATTGTCCATACTGCTTTATGTTCTTTCTGTTATAATATTTATGGACATAGCAAAGTTTATTTTTATTTATTGCAGAAGTTTTATTAAATTAAATATTCAATATCATAATTTGTTATTGCATACAATAACATTTTATGTTTGCAAATCAAAACTTTCATTATAAGATATTATTTAATTATAATTGTGAATAAAAATGTGCATAATTTGGTAGACAACACAGTTTTTATTTAAAGTTGAAAAAAATTGAACATACTTTTGCTAAAAACATGTTTATCCTACTAATATAAATGTGACAGTTTTTATATAAGTTTGTTACTGCTTTATTTCACTTTTACACTGGTGAAATAGAATAATGCACTTAACTTAATACGATAGGACAATGATCATGGTACATGACCTCTCGCACATACAGCATGAACCAGGCAGCGACAAGCACAACTCTAGACTGCCCATAGACATTACCTAATAGGTCAATGCATCACAGTTATCTCATAGCATTAGAATACCTCAGTTCTGGATGGAAAACACAGTCTGGAATTAGCACAGAGTCTCAAGTACAGCTAGTTTAGACATAATTCATTGTAAATACATCTGTTTATGCAAACACATATTATAACAATATGCTATATTATATAAAGCAAGCAATTCTTGTATAAATGTGTCTTGCCTTTTTATTTGCATAAGAAATATGTTACACAATGTTTCAAAGACATGAGTTCATGCCATATCCTTTACTTCATATATCATTAAGAAATGCTTTATTACCTTTGACTCAGTTTAACAAATGATGCCATCGTTTATTTTCATTGCTCCATTTTGTAGTATTGACTCACATGTCCATTGGGATGTGATGCTTTATGGAAATTTATCATTAAAAGTCTTGATTCACAATTATGTTCCTTGAGGTAACAAGGATGTGTGAAATCTAGATATGGCTCCAACTGATTTGGTTGAATTTTAGGGCCCCTAAAGCAGTCTTAGTGAGAGTATGTTCTAATTCTAGGTTTTTTGCAAATAAACTACATTACAAGACAATGTCAAATGGATGCTATATTATCTTATTAATAATATAATTGCGACAGTTTAGATGGATAGATGTTTGTTAGCATTTGTAAGTCTGTTGATTGAATCTTTCAGACTACTTACTTATTTTTTTATTCCATGTGAACATAGACACAGGCGAATGCTAGTAGCAATAAAAACCTTATAAAAATATCCTAAAATTGTAAGATTTGATTAGATAAATTGTTCTATTTTATTTTAGTGGAAAAATGATTGCTTTTCTTCTTTCAGTATTCAATAGAGACATACCACTACCACCGAGATCACCTCAGGCAACTGAAACGGAATTTCGTATGCGGGAAGTTTACAAGGTATCATATTATTCATAATTATTAATATATTTAACTGTTTTATGCCATACAGAATTTTAATTGAAATGTCACCTAAATCTAATGGAATAAATAAAAACATCTCCTAGGTAAAGATCCAAAACATTGGGCCTCAGTTCACGAGCCTTTTCCATTTCAGTCTATTTCTGGTTATCTTCCAATTTGCAAAAATCCCAAAAATATTAAACATTTGCTATATTTATTAATACTTTATTGTTACAATTTTCTATAAGCTGATTGTATTGTTCTTTATAGGTGAGTGGAAAGTTAAATGTGGGTGGTGTAGAGTACCGCTCCAGTATAGATGAATTGCAACATATGGGCGAGCTGGGAAGTGGTACCTGCGGACATGTTGTCAAGATGCTGCACAAACCTTCTGGAGCAGTCATTGCTGTTAAGGTAACTAATATTGAATTATTCACTTATATAAATTATTAATATTATAAATGCGAAAGTTTAGATGGATGGATGTTTGTTAGAGTTTGTAGCCTAAACGGTTAAACGGATTTCAATGAAATTTGGGATAGATGTAGAGAATAGTCTGAAAGAACACATAGTCTACTCGCTTTTGTTTTTTTTAATAACACGCGGACGGAGTCATGGGCAATAGCTAGTTTATTATATAGATGTATATCATTGACAGACAGACAATTGCAGTTATTAATATAATAATTATTTTTCATTTACATTTACTTTGTTTTTTCAGCAAATGCGGCGCTCTGGTAATTCGGAGGAAACCAAAAGGATTTTAATGGATTTAGATGTGGTGGTTCGGTCTCACGATTGTCCATTCATCGTTCGCTGCCTGGGTTGCTTTGTTACGGACGCGGATGTATGGATTTGTATGGAACTGATGGCGTCATGCTTCGATAAGCTACTCAAACGGCTCGGCGCACCAATACCGGAGGCTATACTTGGCAAAGTTACTGTTGCGGTAAGTAAAAATGGGATTACATATGCCAGTAACTGGCTCACCTGTAAAAGACTGGCATGTGCCTTTAGGGTTTTGTAAATTTTTATTGTACTAGCATGATTTTTGATTTTGTAACATCTACAAGTAGACATAGGCGGTGGCTCAGGGTTTGAGCACTTGACATGATATCCAGGGACCTTTAGTTCGAATCTTGCCATGTATATGCTTTTCTATGTAATTCAAATATTACATTTGTACATAATTTACCCGACGTTCTAACGGTAAAGAAAAGGCAAAGAAATTCAAAGTTATGTGTTCAAGTCAACGTGCAGTGGGCCAGCATCGTTGGTCTAATCCTAACTTAGGTTAGGCACCGAGACCCTCAGTAGGATGTATAGTGGGCTGGTGATGGTAACAAGTAGATTTCTATCTACCCTCTGTTCGAAAGTGGTACGAAACTTGAGTTACTATACCATTGTACATATGTTGTGTTATCTAGATAAGATTCTCCCTAAAGTATGTGAGATTCCCCAACATTCCAGAATAAGCCACTTCCAGTAACACATATTGTATGTACAGACGGTGAAGGCGTTATCATACCTGAAGGAGAGTCATGGTGTGATACACCGTGATGTGAAGCCGAGTAACATCCTGTTAGATGAGCGTGGTAACGTGAAGTTGTGTGACTTCGGCATTAGCGGACGTCTAGTCGACTCGAAGGCTAAAACGAGGAGCGCCGGGTGCGCTGCGTATATGGCTGTAACTATATTTATATTATCATTTATTTTAATATGGGTTTAGGGTTTTTTAGTTTATTTTTTACTTGTACTCTAAACCATTACCATTATTATTGGAGACCACTTAATGTTAAAACATGCTTTATATCTGTATTATAGTTTTATTCGGGCAACATATAGAATTCAAAAGTTGAAAATTTTTTTGGAAATGATCGAGATTGAGAAGAAAGATGATTTTTAAATCTTTTTTATATTCGTTTGAGTAGATGGTTTTTGGCCAATTTTAGTTTAATTAGTGGATTTTTAGTGAGGATATATTTTTTACAGCCTGAGAGAATAGACCCGCCGGACCCCAGTAGACCGGACTATGATATTCGAGCAGACGTGTGGTCTCTCGGTATATCGCTAGTGGAGCTCGCCACCGGCGTCTTTCCATATAGAAACTGCCAAAATGACTTTGAAGTTCTTACAAGGGTGAGTTTTACAGCATATGTTTTGATATTTTAGCAAAAAACCAATACTAATATTATAAAAGGGGAAGATTTGTATTTTTGTGTGTTTGTAATAACTCAAAAACTACAGGGTCAATTTAAAAAATTCTTTCATCAATAAATAGCTATGTTATTAGTAACGTAACGTTTATTACAATTTTTATTTCCACACGGACGAAGACGCGAGCAACAGCTAGTAATTGTTTAACGTAAATAATTTGTTTTCTTTTTCTTTTCAGGTAATAGCAGACGATCCACCTCAATTGCCAGATACGAGTGATTTCACGTCAGAATTCAAATCTTTTGTATCTCAATGGTAAATAATATAAATTATTACAATATTAAGTAAACAGAAGTGTATTTGGATGGCTACTAAGGATCAAAGAAAGTATGGTTGGATTGTGTGAAATAGGTGCTTAAGAAAAGAGTGAATTCAGGCAGAAATGTATGGAAGAGCAGCACATACTGTGCCAACCCTTTATAGGGATAAGAGGATGATGATTATTAAGTTAACTAGCTGTTCCCGTG